TCGTTTCAGTGGCAGCGGATCTGGAACAGCCTTCACTCTGACCATCAGTGGAGTCCAGTCTGAAGATGATGGAGATTATTACTGTAAGAGTCACCACAGCGGTACTGGGTTCTCACAGTGATACAGAGCTGTACAAAAACCTCCCTCAGTCAGACTGTGTAGAGGCACTGCTGCAGTGGGACCCCCTGCAGCTGCATAGACAAACACTACCGGTAGAATTGGTTATACTGAAGAGATCAATGACTTTAAACGGGGTACTATCATAGGATGCCACATTGGCCACAAGTCAGTTTAAGAAATTTCTGTCCTGCTAGATCTGCCCTTGTCAACTATAAGTGGCATTATTGTGAAATGGAAACGTCTAGGAGCAACAACAGCTCAACTACAAAGCCGTATACCACACAAATTCACAGAGCAGGGCAACTGAGTGCTGAAGCGTGTAGTAAGTAAAAACTGTCAAACTGTCCCTAAAAATAACATCAGAATAAGAATTGTGTATCAGGAGCTTCATGAAATGCCATGGTCAAGCAGATGCACACAAGCCTAAGATCACTTTGCGCAATGCTAAGTGTTGGCTGGAGTGGTGTAAAGCACACATCCACTGAATTATAGAGCAGTGGAAATGTTTTATGTGGGGTGATAAATCACGCTTCACTATCTGGCATTCTGATGGACGAATCTGCATTTGGTGGACGCCAGGAGAATGCTTGTGGTCATATGTTCCAAGAACATTTTGAAGAATTCAGCTGTAATGGTCTTAACAAGCTTCCTGCCTTGATGTCGTCCTCTTGATCAGTGTTTCTTAATCCTGCTCTTGCTAGCCGTTTCAATTATTCCTTGACACAACACATCTGATCCAGCTTATCAACTGATTATCCAGCTCTTCATGAACTGGATCAGATGTGAAATGGGGAATAGTTGAACCTATGCAGTGCTTTGGAGCCACAACAGCTGGATTAAGAAACACTGGTCTAGATCAATCACATGCATCATTGATTGAGTACCATTTAGGTTGTATCTGGATGTACTTCCAGTGACTGAAGAGCCTTAACTGAATTTTATTAATTCAGCCCTCAGCCTGGGCTGCATCCCAAACTTATTTAAGTTAGCCATTGCCAAACAATTCCTTAAGAAACCACACCTTGATCTTTCTGATCTCTTTAATTATTGTCCCATCTCCAGCATTCTTGTTCTATCTAAAATTGTATAGAAAGTTGTTGCCCAACAACTCTGCTCTTCTTTACAACAAGCAAGAATTATTTCAGTTTGACTTTTGTAAACATCATAGTAAACATTGAGCACTGGCTAAGGTGGTCAATGATTTTCTGGCTGCCTCAGACTGTGGAAATGTCTCTCTTTTGGTCTCAGTGGTCATGACACGCACAGGACCACCACAAGCAGGTATTATTTGGCTGGTGGATCATTCTAAGCACTGCAGTGACACTGTTGTGGTGGTGGTGTGTTAGTGTGTTGTGCTGGTCTGAGTAGATCAGACACAGCAGTGCTGCTGGAGTTTTTAAACAGCTCAGTGTCACTGCTGGACTGAGAATAGTCCACCAACCAAAAATATCCAGCCAACAGTGTCCTCTGACCACTGATGAAGGACTAGAGGATGACCAACACAAACTGTGCAGCAACAGATGAGCTATCGTCTCTGACTTTACATTGAGTGAGTGGACACAGTATTTACACTGAGAGCTCCATGCTTCAGTGTTCTGGGAGAGTTTATAGTGCTGTGAGTTTAACACTTTATGACTGAGAGCTGCTACAGCAACTTCTTCACCCACAGCAGCCATAACCTTGTCTGTCTTCCATAAAGCCTTAAATTAATAATCCATATGAACCTTCGATGTGAGCAGTAGTTACATTTTATTTCTGTTTGTTTGTTTCAAGGCTCCGCTGGTCAGGTGACTGTAACTCAGACTCCTGCAGTGAAATCTGCTTTTCCAAAAGACACAGTCACCATCAGCTGTAGGACCAGCACTGACGTACTGCAAATCTGGTCACTTACGTTGGTATCAGCAGAAACCTGGAGAAGCTCCTCAACTCCTGATTAAACTGGTAAATGATGTTCAGTCTGGTTTTCCAGCTCGTTTCTGTAGCAGCGGATTTGAATCAGACTTCACTCTGACCATCAGCCTTTATTCACAATGGTGAATAAATATATGATGAATATGATGAGCTTCTACAGTGTACAGTCCCCATCAGCTGTAGAAGCAGCACTACAGTGTATTACTACAGCTAATTCAGTCAGCACTTACACTAATATCAATACAAACCAACTTCCCTGTTCATCCACCCACATTCCACACCTCCACACACTTCACTGGCATTAAACAGAATTTAGTCGGTGACTAAACTGGTCTTGACCCCACTAAGAACATTAACTCATGCAACAACACAGCAAACATGGTTAAAAGATTTTTAACAAGAAAAATGACAAGAAATCTGTGGATACCAATGTGCTGAATCATTTACTACGAAAAAAAACAATCTGAGAAATACAATTTTATTATCAAAATGAACCTGAGACCCTGAGCAACAATTTGCCAAGTCCCACTTCTATTAGTTATTGTTGCTATGTCATGCTTTCAGTTCAGGCTCTCTTGTAGCATCTGTTACACTGGTACTAACCATCTAAGAACTTGCATAGTGCAAAGGGAAATGTAGAAGAACACAGAGGAGAACGTTTGAAACTGAACTGACAAAATATGAATGTTGGCCAATTTAAAGCAAACAATTCTAGACTTTGAAACACATAATCAAACAGGGAAATCATTTAGTTACTCAATTTTAAAGTTGTGGGCTTTATGTCTAAAAAGAAGAAGGCTTTATTGATGTAAGCTTCTCCTTCAGATGAGCTAATGCCAAATGGCTGAAGCTAACACTGGAGTTAATTAGAGCAATGTTAGATGCTGGGGAGCTAGTCTGTGCTGAGGAGGTCTTTGTCTTTTACCTGAGGCCTTTTTGCAAACTTTACTGAAACAATAGAAAGAATGGCCTGTGTGAGTGCATTAATATTTATCTTTATGTACAGTATTTTAATCACTAATGTGAGCGCTGTACAGTCATGTTAAGGGAGTAATATGTAAGACGACATCCTATCAAATTTATACTCCACCCTCGAAACAAATAGGTGACAACATAGGACCAAAAAGTTGTGGTGTCCACCCCTATTGTAAGAAACAAGAAACTGCACAATCCCTGCTCCTCCCTTTACTCCTCTTCCTCTTTGCCAGTATAGAAGAAACATTGAGAGTTCAGCGTCAAACTTCATCCCTTTACTCGCCAAGGGCTGTCTCCAGTGGTGGAAAGCAACACCAATGTTAACTCTTGTTTTGCTTCTATTTAGGTCACTTTTTTTGTTGTTGTTGCTTGCCAAGTTTCAGCCATTGTTGCATGTACAGCTCTCATGTTGGACTGATGGCAGACTTGATGCTACAGAGACTCACTATCACCTCTTGAGGTACAAAGTGGTATTACAAGACAGGACGGGTTAGCGTGCTAATTTCAGTAGATATCTCTGCAACACAGTACATACAGTAGACATCTTTGACATAACATCAAAACTCTTATTTCTTCACATTCTGTTGATAATTGTAGCCATTTTTAAAAATGTTATAAACTAAAATCTTATGAATCGCACCGTTAAAACTGACAGATTTACTAAGCTGTCAGCAGCTAAGTTAAGAAAAGCTGACTAGCTAGCTAATTGATCTTTTTTCTAAGGTTATTTAAAGTTAGACATCACATTTTTAGTAAGTACAGTAACTCAAATAAAGTTTAGCTCTCCTTAGGATCAGTGTAGATCTGTGAATAGCTTTGACATTCAGCTGTGAGTTTGGTCTTTCACTTGTTTAATCCAAAACATTTTCAGCTTCAGGAATAAAATAGAAACAGCACCATCCTCCAGATGATCAGGATAGTATGTCAGGAATTATATGTTCCTCAGTAACACATCTTTCTACCATTTCATATTCTAATAATTCTGACTAATTTACTGCCGCTGCTGTTCTCACTGTAGGTTTGTTAATAAGGAGTTCTGTTTCCTTTGCATGACAGAGGAAGTAGTGTGGCAGATGATTGGCCAAGAGGGTGATTGGTCACTTTTGCAAATGTTCACTTTTTCTTTCCAGTGTGGGACATTCTTACACATAGTCTCTGTGTGTGCCTGTGTGTGTACGTGTGCATGACTTGGATTTGCATGAAAACCGTCTTCAGTTTTCAGTGAAACAGGAGACACTCTTCACAGCTCTACTGTATGAATTGTTGATGTATGGTTTCTAGATCATGATCACATTTTTACAGGAGAAGGAAAAAAACTACTTTACTTTTAATGTAAGTCAGTGGAACCAGACTTTCATCCAAGTTGTTTTGGGTCATTTCTCTTAGTCTACTCATCATGAAATTTACATGCAATGTCAAGGGCAACAGGTATTTTCAAATTATGTCAAAAAATGGAAATATGAGGTTTTGTTCAGACAGCAGCGATTTACTTCAAAACAATGGGATCTAACTGCTCACCATGTGCCCATGAGGGACAGGGATGCAGACTCACTTCCTGCTCTAAAATGCAGGGATGTGGCTAAAATGAGGCTCTGCCTACATACTACGACTGAAAACATGGAACAGCATTTCTTTAATAAAGTTTTTTATTTTAAAAATTAAATGGATGAAAAATATAAATCTGTCAACATTAAATGTAATAAAATTAAAAATAAGTAGGTATTATTTTCACAGTATAAAGTATTTCATTTTCCAAATAGAAATAGAATAAATGATGATTTTGTATATTTTTAGCTTATTACTGTCTCAATGAATGTTCTGGGTTTAAATAGATCATAATATAAGCTTTGTTAATATCTAAGATGTCAGTACTTCATTAGTTTTATTAAATTTTTTTGTGGGAGAGGAAATTTGGACACATTTGGTAGAATGGTCAATACACACGCACACACACACACACACACACACACGTATGATGTCCATTAAGAACAATGTACAATGAAAATGAGACAGATGTTTTATTGATTGAGTCAAAGGCATTCAAAGACATTTCAGCACTAAAAGGCTTTTATTATGTCTTCTAAAATACAGACATTTAAGCAAAAGAAAATGTGCTTCGACTAACAAACTTCGGCAGTGCATTTGTGAGGTCACAGGTCAGAGCATTGGTCTGCGCTCACTGTCTTGCGGACAGTAGGCTGGGAGTCCTTGGTGGCCTCACAGGTCACTGTGTTCTTCAGCCACTGCTGCTGGCTGAGGGTCAGGGTGCTGCTCCAGCTGTAGAGGCCGTCGTTCTTCTGCAGAAGCGCAGGGCTGTGACTGACCCCCGACTCCAATGAGTCACTGCCCACCTTCCAGCTCAACTTCCAGTCTGAGGGGAAGCCCCCGCTGCCCACACAGACCAGAGTGGCCTTCTCCTGATCCTGCTCCACGCTGGACGGGGGCAGCACTGTGAGGGTGGGTGCCGTGTCACCTAGGAGACACACATACACTCTGTTCAAAATAGTTCAGTAATCACTTTTCTCTACATTAGATACTGAGGAGCACTACAGAACACTATTATGGGGAACAGACATTGGTGCCCTATTCGCTATATAGAATTCTAATGTACACACTAAAATATAATTCCTACTAGTACTTTTACCTACTATACTATTTCTAGACAATCATTTTTAAAACATTTCTTAAAAATTGAAATGTGTATTTGATAGGTTTTGTCCAAAATGTATTATAAGTAACTTTCAAGATGTCTCTTGTTTTTTCACAATATATACATACACACATACAAGAAATATCAAAGCCATATGAGGAATAATAGGATAATTATTATAGAAATAAACTGTGCCGGCTGTTATTCTTTTCAAAAACTCTTTATATCCAAAATGGTTTCAAATGGTTATCCTGCAGTTTTGGAATGAAACTCTTCATTTTCTTTACTGCATACTAGTACCATCAAATTGATTTCATAATAAACATAAGCAGCAGTCTACATATATTATCATATATTATATATATATTATATCATTTGAAATTTAAAGTTTCCTACTGTAAACTGGCTCAACGTTTATTTATCGCAAGTTTCCGCCACTTTTTGGTAAAACACATATCTGCATTTTTGTCGATTTGTATTTTTTTACATCATTTGAACACTGTGCAAAACAATTTGTGATGAATGGACCAATAGAAATGCTCCAAAATCATTCTTAATAAAACCACTTTATAATAACTTACATTAAAAGTTAAGAACATTTTTGCCTTCTCTCATGAAGTTACTATTTTGGAGATTATTGTGGAAAGCTTTTTTCATCAATACTTTTCGATATCAGAAATTCAATCTGGACTGTAAAAGCAAGAAATGTGACATGTAAAAATGTCAAATCTGAAAATGTTAAAACTATTACAAGAAAGAATTATATTCTACTATATAAGATTTCAGTGCTTCTTAGCCAGAATTTATTGCTTTCAAAGAAGTAAACATTTTCAATAGTACGCATTAAAAGTTAGCACATGCTATTTTAATTTCATAACTGTATTGTTTCATGTGCAAATTCAGTTCTTACACATATGACATAATTTTGAATTGAAATCTGACTCATAGATTGACTGTTCTAATATTTTATTACTAAGATTAATATCATTTGTTTAAATAGAATTCCTGATATCAAGATTGGATTAAAAGTTAAACGGTTTTCCATGGTTATTTATGAAACAGACGGGTGTTCAAGATAAAAATCACATGTGAAAAGCAAAATGTTGACTGAAAACCTACAGTGTAGAAGTGACACAGTGCTGAAAGAAGCCTTAATAACAGTCTGTTAACTTATCAGCAGCGTAGTGCCCAGTTACTACCCAGTGTTCGTTTAAGCCCAACACACAAATGAATTTGATGTCCTTCATTCACCGCTACAGGTGTTAAATTAACACCGACGATATTCCAAAACTGATTTTAACAGAAATAAAGTTAAGTTACTGTGTTACTATTTTAGGAAATTAGCAAATTACTCACGTCCAACAGCCAGTTTGGTTCCTCCACCAAAAGTGTACCACAGTGATACAAACTCATTCAGCGGCTGTACAAAAACCTCCTGCTCCAAAACACCACACTGTTCACACAGTACAACCTCACCTTAAACACCAATGAGGAAACAAATAACAAAAATCATATCATGTGATAAGAATATCGACTTTATCACCATTTTCTAGCATTTTTTAACATATTTGGCCTTTTAATAATCAAGGTTTTCAATCAACAGTCAATGGAGACATGATTTTCTGTTTTTTAAGAGACATTATTGACAGTAAATGGAAAATTCACAAAAGTTACAGTTCTTCAGGATCTGCAGAAATTGCCTAATTTAAAAATTGTAATGTCACTATGTGAAAAAAGCCATAAATGAAATCATTTCTGGAATGAAGGCGAGAAAAAAATCCTTCACTGCTTCTCAAGAATAATGGAAGGTTACAATAACTTACAGTTACCTTTTATGATGCTCTAAAAATGCATTTTCATTCAAAGTATTTGTTCATTTTATGGCTGCCAACATCTCGGCTGTTTCTTCTACTGCAGTGCTAAACTCATTAACACGCAGCAGGCACAAAGTCCCTCCAGAGAAAAACAAGTTACAGCTGAACAATTACAAATTGCCCCCTGCTGGCAGTTTGCACAGTTACATTTGAGACTTGAACATTGAATCACTAATCCCTTTAGTGTGTTGATGTTCATTCTGTTATGTTGGTGACATATGTGCTGCCTTATGATTGGTCACACCTCTGACTTTTGAGGTTTATCTTTTTATTTTAGACTAAATGCTTAATTGAGACAATATTGTCTGTGTCTGATTGTTGCCCCATATTTTCAAGTGTGCATTGCCAGACGCTCCATATGTCATCATCATCATCATCATTAACCGCTTAGTCCAGATAGGGTCACGGTAACAGTTGGGAGAGCAGAGAATCCCAGATGGCTCTGTCCCCCGCAACTTCCTCCAGCTCATTCTGGGGGACCCTGAGCCGCTCCCAGGCCAACTTGGAGATATAATCCCTCCAGCTCGTCCTAGGATGACCTCGGGGTCTCGTCCCAGTAGGCCATGCCTGGTACACCCTGGTACACCATGCTCCATATGTGAAGTATTTTTTTGATGAAGGTCACATTTTTCTTGTTCTATTGAGTTTCCAAAAGCCACATCTGAATATTTTGCTTTGCACTTGTACACTGTAATATATGTAAGTTCCTTTTCCCGGTCAAGTCCCACTGACTGGGAAATCTGAATTCGTTTCATGACAGAAACATTCTGCTGCTCCACTTCACCATTTGCTTGAACATATTTTGTAGCAGTTTTGAAGTATTTGATCTATTTTTTCTCACAGTAATCTCTCATCTGATCTGAGGGTGATTGTCAGATTTGAGTGTTTTTCATGTTATTTTTGTACAGACACTAACAGCTTTAATAATGTCCATGTCTACTAGTCTTCGGTCTTCTTCTTCACAAGGTCTTCAAGGTTAAATAGTATCCCTCTTCGGGGCTGAGCTACTAGCTGTACACTTGAGTCTATGTACAGACTGATTTGCTTGATTTTTAGTTTCTATATAGAACCTTTTTGAAAAGGGCCCAAGGTTTGGAGTGTGGCCTGTACATCGACTCTAACAGCTTATGGTCAGTTACAAGATCAAGCTGCCTTCCACAGTTGTAAGAGTGGAGTCTCTCACAGGCCCACACAAGATTTAAACCCTCTCTCTCTCTCTTTGTATCTCGTCTCACTGTCTGTCTCCTGCTGACGTAGCACACAGGAGCCGTCTCACTCGGCTGACGCTGGACTAACATAGTGCCCAACACCGTTGGACAACAATTAATGCTGAGCAAAATCCACATGAAGCTTAAGCGATTCATATTAAAAGGACAGTTTTCAGGGTTCAGAGTCAATCCACATTCTTGCAGATGCTTCATGACATGTCATGAACAGTCACTGGTCATATGTTGACTGGTCAGTGACATCATCTGATGTGTTCCCTTGATGCCAGTTAGAGCAGAGGCAATTTGTTGATATTGCTCACATGTAGGTATTGCTCAGTGGCAGGCGATACACATGACTAGTGTTAGCTCCAGTTGGTGATAACCCCATTTTAGGTCCAGTTTGCTAAATACTGTGGACCCATTCAAACCTGTAGAAGCTTGTCTACTGTTGGTGTGGGGGTAACGTTCTCTAATAATGGCACAAATTTGCCCATCACATATCAAGACACAGCCTAATCTCAGAATTGCCTTTAGTTGTGACAACCACTGGTTTGGACCACTTTCAGCTTCAATAGTGTCCATGTCTACTAGTCTTTTTCTTCACAGCGCCTTTCAGGTTATCCCCTTAAATGGTCAGGGCCCACAGACAGACCCACAGTTATTACACACTTCTATAACCTAAGAACAGCTCAGCCAGTTTGCATTGATGTCCCTGTAGTTACTGAATAATAAGCCTTAGTATGTAATAAGCCCGGGATTTTAAGGGGTTAAATAGTATCCGCCTTATTGGCTGGGCTACTGGCTGTATGCTTCAGTCTATGTAAAGACTGATTTGCTTGGATTTTAGCTTACCCACACCTTGGAACACATCTGGGTATTGTGCCTGTGGTTATTGTTTCAGGTCTGCTACTGCTGCAGTATTTGTGTCTATTTTCAGCACCCCAAGTGTCATGACTGTGTCTCTGCCCAGTGTTTCTCCATCTCCTCTAATGACAACGAATTCAGCACATTCACTGCAACCTCACACTATTGTCTCACACTTAAAAGTTGCCTTAACTGACAATAATATTAGTTCTATCCAAATCTACATGCATTTTTAGTCTCACTACTCCAAGGCAAATTTCTAGACTGTCGGGCGTAATTTAGGTGGTCTCCACTGTTGTACTTGTGACATGTCTAGCCAGCATTACAGATCTCTGCCCAAATGATCTATGATTTATGAGTCAAAGCAGTGCTCTTCGCCATTGTGGCAAATACCTGTGGCTTCAGTACCTTCACAGTCCCTTTCCATTAACAAACAGCTCAAAATGTTAGCCGTCTTGTCCATCTCAGGGCGAGAATCGCAGGATCTTTGAAGCATTCAAACGAGGTATTACTCACCTTATCCATGTTATTCACTAGGTGTGCATGATAGGACTAAAACTTGTCTCCAATGTTGTATGTCTCACCTTTCTTTATAATTAGAGGAGTCTGTACAAAACAGGCGCTGTAGTGCTGAACTTCACTTTTGTTTACTACTGAACTCTTTTTCCTCACTGCAGTGCATCCCATAATGCATATTTTCCCCAAATGATGCAATGCCATACTCCTTGATACAAGATACATGCAATGCATTTCAATACATGACATTACCCTTCCTAGATGACTCTAAATTCTAGCTGACCCCCTGGAAAGCCTCTTTGTTTCAGCAGCTCCAGGTGCCTCAAAACCCAGAACAGCACAGCGGACCGAGCTAATGAGACCCAGGTGAAGATCATCACACAGACAATCCTGAACTCAGCAAAACACACCAAGCCCTGAGAAACATTCAGTCCAGCTCTGAGCTCTGCCAAACACAAACAGATGTTGAACACTGAGCGGGCTCAACAGACCCAGGTGCCGAAGTCTGTACAGCCACAGAAATATCGAAAAGAGGCGCTCAAATACCGAAGATTAAAAAACAAAATGCAACATTTACACAATTTACATGACATTTAAATACTGGCCTAATCAGGCTGGTCTGGTGCTGGTTTAGTTGGTTACCCAGTATGGCGTCCATAACACAACATATGCTGGTTTTTCTTGCAGTGATTAAAGTTTATTGATGTTTGTTGGATTGTAGGATTAAATGAACCTCAAAACCAGACACACTCTGTCCAACCTCTTGCACTCACCTAACCTACAAGATGATTTTAGAACAATGCCATAGAGAAATATGTGGTTCCTTAAAGAACCTTTCAGTGAATGCCTCTGAATGTATTCCAAAGCAAAGAACCATTTAGGAACCTTTATTTTTAAGTTGCTGCTACTACTACTGCTACTGCTACTACTACTACTGCTACTGCCTACAACTATAATACTTCTGGTAGTACTATTACTACAACTGCTACTATTTCTATACTACTACTACTGCTGCTATTACTACTATAATACTTCTGCGACTACTACTACTACTATTACTTCTACTACTACTGCTAGTATTACTATAGTACTTCTGCTACTACTACAACTACTACTACTACTACTACTACTACTACTACTACTACTACTACTAATAATAATAACTATTCCATTCCATTAGTTCTGATCTAGTTCATCAGATAATTATCAAGCTGGATCAGGTGTGATGGGGCAGGGAATGTGACAGTGCAATAGATGCTTGAGGGGGAGGATACAGTATAAACAGTCAGGCATTTATTATATAGAGAACTGAACTATCACAGGATATATCACGGGATTACAGAGAGATCAGGATATGCTATTTAATGCCTCATCACATTAAGTCTAGAAGTCACCGTAGCCTGATTTACTGACATTAACAGAGATTACATATACAAAAGTTTTGGCACCTTGGTCATATTCCATATTTTGCTGATTTTCTTGATTTTCTAAGTGAAAATAAGTAACACATCCTTTACAGAGAAGGCACTTCTGCACATTTCAATACACATGTACTGTTTATTTGCTTGATTTAACATATTAGGGAAAAAACTAAACATAAAATGTGGCCTGTACAAAAGTTGTGGCACCTTTTATTTTTAAGTTTTATTATTCTTTTTTTGAATATGTTAAAATTAGCAAATGAATAGAAACTGTGCAGTTAAGCAGTAAAATGTGCAGGAAATGCTATATTTAAATGTGTTTTCTGTAGAGGATGTGTTCACTTACTTTCACTTAGAAAATCAACATCTGTAATTTGACCAGGGGTCCTCGAACTTTTGCATACATGCTTGTGCTGTACATGCCGTGAGGGTCTGATCACTGTTTAGGCCACTAGATGGAGACATTGTCTTTAAGTTAGCTGAAAGCGACGGAATGATGAACAAGACTTTCATTTATAGGGCTTCTTTACATTATATATGCAACAAAAAGAATAACATGTAGATCACATTCCTTAACGCCTTAAACGGCCAGGGCCAGCTGGTGGGCTCAAAGTTTTATTACACACTTCTATAACCTAAGAATCGCTCAACCAGTTCGCATTGAAGTCCCTGTAGTTACTGAATAATAAGCCTTAGTATGTAATAAACCTGGGATTTTAAGGGGCTAAATAATAAAAGATTTCAAGATTCACTGAAAAAAAAGTTGCTTAAAGGTTTTTTAAATTTATGTGATTCAGTTGTGTATACTGGCTCAGCATGAATGAAACATGTTATATTTACATAAATACTACGTGTAAGTACTTAACTGACTTCATTTAAGTTGATGTAACATATTTCATTTGTGCAGAACTAAAGTTCACATTTGGTTTCAGTAATGATGAGTAAGTAGAGGCATTATCTTTAAGGGAATATTACAGCCAAAATGAAAAATCTTGTTTGTATTTATATATTTTTTTATTTGTTGTATTTTCTAGTTTAAAGACTAAGAGCCGCCCCCCTCTTCTGATGACATATCTTGAAGGTGGGAGGAACAGTTGAAAAAGTACAATCACTTTGTGGGATTAGGGTTAGGATTTGGACCAGGGTTAGAGCTAGGACCAGGGTGAGGGCTGGGTTTAGGTTCTGGGTTGAGGTTAAGGTTATGGTCAGGATTAGAGCCAGGTTTAGAGTTAAAGACAATTATGGTCGATTTAGTAGATATTTCGTTGAATGTAACTTGAAAGTAAACAAAGTATCTACAAAGCATCTAAAGCACACTATCCAAATGAAGTGTTACTAAAACTTGTAAATTCTATCAAAGCAATGATGCAATGCTGCACTACAAAATACTACATAGTATGACAAACAACATTAAATCATTGCTGTCAGAATGAAACCTAGTACCTCCAAAAAAATTACTTTACAATAAAAGTAAAACTTCAAACATAACTTAATATAACAAGATTTTATCCCTATTATATTCAATGAAAAACTACATTACCTTCCTATGTTTACAGCTGGCATGTGCACAGATAGACCCTGGAGGGGTTTTTAAGCTCCTGTTTTTTTTGTCTTCAGACTGAACCAGTGTCCTTTTGGTTGCCATGTGTAATTATTGTGTTCCACGTTGCACGAACTATGGTTCAAGACCTGTTTCAGCTCAGGTCAGGTCAGGAATAGAGCTTGTGGGTCAGCTCAGGTTCCAGGAGCTTCACCGTTTTTGGGCGCCCCCTCGGGTGCTGCCTATGGAGATTTCCTCTTCGTCAACTACGACCCGATACAAGTATCACCACAGTGCTGGGAATCGTGCAGATAAAGCACGGATAATGTCTCTTTAAAAAGCATGGCTTTCTATAATGTAGTCATTTTGAACAACAGCCAAACATAATGTCAGCACCAAGCGGAGCTAATCACTTCCTAATCCAAGGTTTTCATTAATGTAAAAACAGGGATTTATGAGATGTGAACCTCTTAAGCCTATCAAACCTAACGTCTCATTGATGATACATTCACAGTCTGAGTCCTTGTCGTGTTCAGCTCATTAAAATCTGCTCTCAGAGTGGCTGGTGAGCATGCATGTCCATATTGGTGATAGTAAAATGGATCAGCATGTGGAAATGGAGCTTTCTGTGTGCTTCCATGTTTCCTATCACTGTATAAAAGAAGCTGCATGCTGCCTTTATTGTTGGATGCAATGACACACACTCAGAATACAATTTTGTCAGGGTAAGAATAAAAGGCAACTGACACATGAAGTATATTCTTATTCATATTTTGCTTATTTAAAATTGGTGGTTTGTGACACGGGCAAAATAAAAATCAGGAAATGAAAAAAATTCAGATATTCAGGTTCTTTATTATCAAAATAAATGTGGCCAGTTTAGAGAAAGCATGTTATTAAATGAATCAGGCATCATAATGTTCATAATATGTCATAATATTGTATATTGTGATGGCTGACTAGACTACACAGCAGAAATAAGATGTCATGACACCAAACATTATGACATCTGTCATTACAATTAACAGTAATAGTACAATGACACTGTTATATTACTAAACGTAATCTGTTACGACAACTCATGACATCATATGACATCTGCCATGACATGTTTATGGCATGGTTATGTAGAAAGTAAAACAATGTGGAGTACTCAAACTCATGCATGGCTTTCCTAGTTACTAATAATGAACTGCAGCCGATATGGAGCAAAACTTCTAATCTAAGTTCTGAACACACCACAGAGCATCAACAGAGTTAGACAGTAGAATGAATAATTAATGGGATGTTTTTCTGCTATCAGACTGAGCTCAGTCCTGGTAGAGATCACAGTGCCAGTGATGATTCTGTGCTGAAAATTCCTTTAAATCACTTTGTGTTTTGAGTCTGAGAAACCATGTCTGAGCTGAGGCAGCGGTGAAGTGGAGAAAAATCACTCTCGGCTCATGTGAGGACAATGATTACAAGGAAAAGTACACTGAGTTATTGTGATTATTGTATAATTTTGTTTTGATGACAAACGACTGCAGATAACAACATCCACCCCAGTTGAGAGTAACAGAACTTATACAATGGTACATGAACTTCAGTAACTCAAAGTACTTTTACTTTGATATTTCAGTACATTTACAAGAAAGTAGTGTTGTATTTTTACTCAAGTACAAATACAGAAGGAATACTTGTACTTTAACTTGTACTTGGTCAGTAATATTTTTACTCAAGTACAGAAGTTGAACCTTTATGACTGAACTTTGGAGGTGTGTATGAATATCCCTGCAGATTTCATTGAAAAACTAAAAGCAAGTCTCTGGAAAAAATGGAAAAAAATTCATCTTAACAAAGTATATAAGGCACAAAATATAATCAGTAGAGTTGCAGTGGGACTCCAGGCTTTGGCTGAAGTGGTGCTTCAGGTTCTCTTTCAGTCCACCTTAAATTACAATATGCTTTTAAAACAGTGCTGTGATCAATTTAGCTTGACATTAATGTGACACAAATCAGCAGAAACGATGTATTAAATAGCTGCAAACAGAGCATATATATATATATATATATATATATATATATATATATACACACTCTGTTTGAATGAGATGACGTTTTGTCAATTTTCTAAATGAAAATAATACAGACTCTACAGTGATCATACTTAAATATGACATTTTTCTGCTGGAGTTTAACATATTGGAAAAAAAAAAAATTAAAGGTAAAATGAGGTTAAAAAGAGAGATTAATATAAATACATAAAATCACAAAATATATAAATAAATAAAACAGGAGACATTAAAAAACAAAAATGTAAGCTAAAAATGAATGATAACAGTAATGAAAATGAACAGCTACACGTGTAGTTGTTATACATAAAACTATATATGTAGTTGTTACTTTTATTACTATTTTATTTTTTATATATATGTAGTTCTTACATAAACACACAAACACACACACACCATCAATGAATTTTGAATCATTTCTGTTGGTCCATTCATCATGAAATGTTAAGAACAGCCACTATGATCAAATGGTATCTAAAAATAAAAATATATCTTGATGTCTTTCATACAGTTGATTCCTTTGGAAAGAGCAGCATGAACTCCTGGTCTCAAACTGTTCCTGCGGCAATTTTGACATTCCACTGAGCTTCTCATCAGTTAACCAATCATTTCCATACAGGTGCATGTACACACACGCACAACC